CAGCTTGCCTACTAAAATTTTTAATTTGTTACTCAGGGGGTTTGAAGCATAAGTATTAATAGGGATGAATGTTGTGACAGAGCAAAGTCTGAACAATAAAGACTAAATACCAATATTGGCATTGCCCTTAGGCAGGTCATCTTCTAATAACACGTGTACCTGCCAATCACCAGTGGAGGAGGAGATGCCTACCGCTCTGAGATATGTCTAGTATGTGTAACTTCGTTGTGTGAAAATTCATGCCACAAATATGCAAAATTTATGTTTCACTATCCTAATGCCCTAGAAAGTTTAACACTTATTCAGAACTCCTCTGAATTTGGTTTCAAGAGGGTTTTTCACTGTTTCTCTCATTTATCATGAAATACATTAAAGCTGAAAAGGGAACGATTTTGATGTCCCTTCTAATAGGCACCCAATGATCGGTTTTTCAACAAATGAGAAAAAATAAAATAAATTGCAGTGGAGGTCACTATATATTGAATAGATTTCACATTACCTTTATTAATAAAAAGCTACGAAATTTGCGTTGTTCGAAATTTGCGGCTAGAATGGAAATGGCGATGTTGGCATTTTTGCCAGTTCGTGGGAAATGAGTGGAGGTCTTGCTTAGAGAACATTGTGTTGTGAGATCGTTAAAACGATTGTTTGTGACTATCAATTAATTACATAAAAATATTTTTTTAAATTATTATTTTTATGTATAAATATAAAATATTTTTATATCAATATGAACATTTCAGTGATGGTATTAACAAATTCAGTAATATTACGGTAAGTTTCACAGCATCAATTGTTGTTACATGCCAAAACTATCCACGTGTGCATATGTAAAACTTTAAGTACACATAAAACATGTGTATATTCATAGATAGGCAACTTTTTCTCATCTTTTCCTTCTATGCGATGCAATCGCAAGGGTTCAGCTAGTCTATCACACTTCTGCATTAGGGTAACGCAGAAAGCGTTCCACGGATCTTCAGTATCGTAGCGAGTGTGTGGTTTTGATTTTTCTGACGGAGCCCCTCCCTCTGTCGCAGCGGACTACCTGCAGGTGTGCAGCCGGTCGGACCCCGAACTGGACGACTGCGTGCGCCGTGCGGTGGAGCACTTGCGGCCGCGCCTCGCCACAGGTGAGTTCTCGCTTCCCGGCCCTCACTCGTCACACTCTCCCTTCACACGCTCAAACAAGTGAATAAATATAAAATGAGATAATTGTCGCAAAGAAATGAAAAACTTGCCACTTCATTTTAAGCCAAAATATTTGTAATACAAACTTTGTTACAACAAATTTAAATAGACAATTTAGAACTTTTAAACACTAAGGGCATTAAATGACTTAAACCCACAAATGCTAGGTTTCTTCCACACTTTTAAAACTGAAGGATTTGCATGGCATTCAGTTGAGTTTCTTCTTCCTTACCTTCGTATGGAATTCGTGGTATTGCTTTTGATTGGTTATGTTCGTACAACGATCTCAGAGAGTAGAAATACGTACTGGAATAATAGAACATAATGTACACAACTTTCCCATTTCGTGACAATTGCATGTGGAGTCTCGCAGGGATCGATTTTGGGCCCTATTATCATCCTCCTACACATAAACGATAGGCCCTCAACGATTAGAAACGAAGAACAGTTCTCTTTGCGGATGATACGAATATTCTTTGCAATAAACAAACCGTAAATAGTACAATATCACATATTTCAAATTGGATCCATAATAACAAATTAATAGTAAATGAAAGAAAACTGTTTCAATGCTGTTTTCCAATTGTGCCATTGACTGATATTAAGGTAACAAAATGTCAATACAACTCAATACAGTCAAAGTTTAAATGGACTATATATGAAATTATAATTATTATAATGGAAAAAATAAATGAATTGAACACTAAATTAAGTTCTTTATGCTACGCTTTCAGAATTCTTTCAAATTTAGTCAGCCTCTATACTGCTCGTTGTGTATATTTCGCCTGAGATATGGTATTCTTGCCTGAGATATGGCATAATATTCTGAGGAAATACATCTTATAGCTCCAAGACTTCAAGATTACAAAAAGGAATTTTACGAATAATAAGAAAATCCCACCCACGTGATTTTTGTAAGACTCTCTTTATTATTCTAGGAATTTTGGTTACCGAATCAGTGTTTTTTGTCAAAAATGACTTAAGGAAGGGAATATATTTTCAGCAATCGCCGATGTCTATAACCACTACACTCGACGTACTAATCATATTCATCAGGTGACAGTATCAACAGCTCACTAAAAAAGTTCACAGAAACTACAAGTACGTTAATTACAACACCTTGCCAGACGACACTAAAAGATTAAGTTCGATACAAAAGTTTAAGTTCTAAGTAAAATCTTTTCTACTTCACAACTGTTTCTATAGAATTAGATAGTATACCAAGCATCCAAAAGGAAAGTAATATTAATTTTAACAATGAAATTTGATGTATTATTTACCATTTGGATTGTATAATTTTAAAGAACCTGTAACAAATATTGTACTTCAGCTACTGGGTCAATTACCCAGCTCGATCACGTTTTTGTACAGTTTCCCTGATCCTTGAGCAAATGCGGAGATGGCCCCATGTTTTGCTTCTGGACATAAATGTAACTTCAAATTAACTTCTTCCCGTCGCACGTAGTACACACTTTTTAATTATTTTGACGTAAATAAATAAAAATATAAATTTTGTAAAATTTAGGAAGATGAAATTAAGAGGTTTTCATTGAATAGAGAAATATAATGTGTGCTTTTCGGCAATCCTCAATAAAACAATTTTTTTTTTCTGAAATAAACCTTCATTTGAAATTCCAATCCATAACGTCTAGTCAAGATACTCGGCAAAATTTCGAGTAATTACGATCTATTCAAAGAGAAATAGGGAGATTTTTTCAACACTTTGTGAGAGATCTCAAATAAACTTGGCAGATTCACGGCCAATCACATTACCCTTCTTCCCGTCCTGACACTATTTGCACTTCGCTACCTCACATGTCAGAAGATCAATGGGGAGCTTTGAGCTTGTCTCGGCTGGATCGTTGCCCCGCTGGAGGAGAGTCCTGGTGAGGAAACACCTCGCAGCGAGCGGGCGAGTAGATCGTCACGTTTCCAGACGTCACGTTTGAGCAGGGACGGAATATGCACAACACCTTCAGGCATATAATATGAACTACACCAACGGGGTATCGAGTGTTAACGCGCCAGGATATACTAAAATCAGAAATTCACAATTTTTTTCGCGTCGACCTCTTTTAAGATAATTAGTTGTTTCATCAATTCCCCTTACACTTTCTCTGCAATATACTCACTCATAACACTCTGCACCCCACTCATAACACAAACAATTCATGTTAACGACTTGTGAATAACAATGCTGTATACCAAAAATTTCCTGAATTCTCGATTTCAGTAATGACTGAGGACACATATGCCTCTGAGTAGCTTAATTTCTAATCCGCACAATGATTTTAAAATGCAGATGAGCGTTTCTAAAATGTGACCTTTTTATTTCTGCAATACCTATTGCAGATAATATTTACTACGCAAAATAGTTGTGTGGGTAATGTGTAGATACTTATAATCTCGGTCGGGACACAGCTCTATGTGTATTATGGACCCCGCCCTCCGGAGTCACAGCTCTTTGCCCGTCCGTCATTAGTTCTCGTGTGCCTGTGTGCGCTCCTTCCCCTCCTATCCCGCCCCCGGAGACCCAGCTGTTTGGTCCATCCGTGGTTAATTCTCGCGCGCCTGTCTGCGCTCCTCTTCCCGTCCCGCCCCGCGCCCGCGGCAGCCGCGCAGCCACCGCGACCTGCGCC